GGGTTTAGGGTTTAGGGTTCTACCTGAGCTGAACATCAACGAACCTGTCTCTCTCACAAGCCTGATCAAGGGGAGCCTCAGACACAAGTACAGTTGCAAAAGCATCAAGGACCCTCACAGAGGGTTTAGGGTTTAGGATAGTACCCCCCCTGTAAACAGAAGCTCTAAGCTACGGTCGTTGGAAGGCCCTATTGAAGGAACCCTTAGCAAAGAAACCCCCTAGTTACCCCTAGTTCCACAAACCCTAAACCCCCAAACCCTAGAAACCCTAGAAACCCTAGAAACCCTAAACCCCCAAACGCTAGACCCTAAACCCGAAGCCCCCAAACCCTAGACCCTAAACCCTAAACCCTTAACCCCCAATCCTTAGATCCTGAACCCTAAAACCCTGAAGAAGGAACCCGACTAGTTCAAGAGATCCCCTGGGTGGCAGCCCGAGGCTTTCGAAACCTCCAGCGGCTATGCCTCGCGGGGTGGGCCGAAGCCACTTTGATCAAAACCTTCCCGGAGCTTTCGGTCGTGGGGATCCTTCCTTAGGACTTAGGGTTTAGGGTTTTACGGTTTAGGCTTTCGGGTTTAGGGCTTTTGTTTATAGGGATCAACACCTCTGTTCTGTTTTGTGCGTGTGTGTGTGTGTCTCTCTCTCTCTCTCTCTCCCTCTCTCGGGTACCCAGTTGGGGAGTCACTTAAGGCTGCTCGGGTTTGGGTTTTTGGTATATATTTCAGGGTCTGCGGTTGGATTGCGCAGTTGTGTTAGTTGGCTGGGGAGACACTCGGACCATGCATAGATGCACTTCTTAGGGTTTAAGGGGTTTAGGGTTGAGGGTTTAGGGGTTTATTTGTCTTGCCCGCGCCCTGCACGTGTCTTCTTGCTTGTTTCAGACATGTCTGATGCCGGGCGGAGATCAGCCTAGGCCATTTGTTCCTGCTGGAACGGCATCCTAGTGTGAGAATTCGAAATAAGCGTTGCTGGTTGATGAAGTCTAGCAGCACAACATGCATCCTGTGCTTGGGTGCATTTCGCACATAATCCCAACTGCAATGTTCTCGTTTGCGCTTCTGCCGGAATTTAAAAGCCACGTCCTCAGGCTACTAAAGCACTGATTCTCCAGGGTCCGGTATTATCGGGATCGAAAATAACGTTTACGCGCGACATAGATATCGGAAAAATATGTCATGGCGTTTCCCTGCACTTTAGTCCCTTTACAATTGTATTGGAATATACCCCAATGCCCATTCTAACTCCTGGAGGCGCAGAAAAGTGAGAACCTTTCAGTAACCGTTCTAGACATCCAATAAATACCTTTTCGAGGAAGCCTTACCTAAACCCCCCAACGTAGGCAAAATAATGGCCCAAAACCTCTAAACGGCGATTATTCTACATACATTGGGGGTCCGGGTTACGGTTCTCAAGTTTCAAGGCCACGACATGACATAGTGATCCCTGGCTGGAAGCTTCGGAAGGTTGCCGCACGTGCCCCCAACGATCTGCCCGGGTGCACAAGAGCCCTCGGAGCGAGAAAGGGTCGAGGCGGTGGAGGGTTTTTGAGGTTTGTTAGGTTCAGGGTTTAGCGTTTGTAGGTTTCGGAGGTTTCGGATTGGGCGTTTTGTGCTCAAGGAAGGCTCTAGACTTGAGGATTTTGGGGTACTTCATTTCGGGTTTGGAGGTCTATGATTTGAGACTTAGGGTTTAGAAGAGGCTATACGCATGGTCCTCCCCCAAAATCTCACGTGGGATCCGATGACGAATTGAGGGATCCTTGTCTTGAAGGACGCCCCAACCACACGCACGCAGACATTCTGGGCTTCGGTTTCCGGGGTTTGGGTTTAGGGTTTAGGGTTGGGGGTATAGGGTTCGGGGTTTAGGCTTTGGGACTATTCAGGGCCTACGGGTTAGGAATTGGGGGTTGGGGTTTGGGATTTACCATCTGGGGGAGGGGGCAAGGGTTTTTAATTGGGACACGGATGATTACTCTATGTTTTCTATTTATGTGTATACACCGATTATAACAGGTGTATGTATGTATGTATATATATACACACACGCACACACGTATCTCGAACTACTAGAGATTCCATAGGTGTGCCTTGGTATGGCAACTAATTGTTTTTTTTACCGGCTGAGTCATGTGGATTTGTGGATTTTGTTTCAGATACCGTTGCAGGCAACCATACTTCCAGAGTATATGGTTGAGAGAGATCGTGTAGAGGTGGCGTAAGAAATGTTCGCAAGACTACGTGCAAGGGCAACACAAAACCAGAGTCGCAACTGGCTTGCCTTGCAGTCAAACAGGCCAACCAGCATAGATGTAGGTGTAGAAGGAGCAGTAATCCGTAAACCTTCAATTTCTAGACCCCCGTCAGCAAGCACCGTGGTGAACGCTTTTCGTTGGATTCTGCCAACTGACTGCAGGTGAACATTGTCAAGAAGCCACTTGGCCCTCGTTATTGCAACCTCTGCTTGTAGCCATACAAGAGACCAAACTTATGACCCCATGTATCTATTATTGGGTACAATCTCCTTGAGGACAGTTAGAAGAAGCTGAGAGCTTAAGCAAGACGTCCGGGTTCTACTATATTCCTCAAAAGTACCACTCTGGTCATTCAAGCCTGCAGATTTGCTTGACAGCTGGTAGTATTCTATTTACAGGGAGAAATGCATTCTGCTGTCCCTCCGAACTTACAAGAGGAACCGACAAAATAGACCCTATCGCGGTTCGTTTAGCCGCACTGGAACAACTATATTATCCAGTGGCTCTATGTTTGGCTGCTTCCACGTCTCCATTATACCGTACTTGTAAGTGATGTAAGTACCTGAAATCCTGAGATGGTGTTTGGCTGGCCTTCCAGACCCCGTCCAATTTACACATGGTTTCAAAGATGCATTCGGTTTAGCAGTTTAGCCTAATTGAAATGCCAGGTCCCCCGAAAATATTTAGTCAAATGCCCACGAAGTAGCTCTCCGGATGATCGTATCATGTACGATCATGGTGCCCTACCTGGCATTACGATAGAGCTTGCCTTCTTCGCTGCAGGGGGAAACACCACCACGGGAGACAACCACAACGGGGCTCGGCAAAATACAACACGGCTCCAACAAAAGCAACCTATTGGCGTCACATCCCATGTAGGCCCGTCAACAAGCCTTCAACCTGAAACTCCAACCCTTTAACACTACAAACTCTGGAGGCTCACATTTATGATTAGTTGGGGTCTCGTCTAGGGTCCTTTATATACATATGCATCTGTATATATATATATAT